TGGCCTTCCTCTAGTTTAATTCCAACAAACCTCCAAACTACTTTATCTTAACAAATTTTACAAAACACTAGTAAATACAAAAAATGACCACTTGCTCTACTTGGTTGGATTTTAAATCTATAGAAAGGTATATGAACTTCAACACTTTGCACCCAGTTGCAATATACAGGAACAATTATTGTTGATCCCAAAACTACAACAATTATGCAGGACAATTATTATACCTGCACTATCCCTGCTAATCATAACAAACTGGTCACTACTATAGTTAATTCATTAGAAAACTTCAAGGCTAATCCCATATCTTGTGAAAATAACCAAATATTCCTAGTGCCAATATTATTAGATCCTGATACAAACAAGTGCTTCAAAGCTATACTAGCCAAATACAAGGCAGTAGCCAACTATTTGGATCCCAGAAATTGCCATCAGATTTATACCTTAGTATATGCATATCACATAAGTGTATTACTATAGTATCATCAGGATGAATTGAAAGTTTCAATTAGGAAGACTTAGGCCAAAACATACAAATAAGTTTTCTATTTATTCAGAGCATGTGGATATGATCACATCTATAGGACCCAGATTATTAAAGTAAAGGACTTTAATAATATAACAAAGGAAGCATTCAAAATGCTAATAACTTTTTGCAAAAGCAAAGTATAAGTATACAGAGTAAATATTTAAGAGAAGGAAAATGTTACAAAGTAGGTTGTAATACAGAAACATATTAGAGAATAGACTTAATTATTATTATATTATTAGATTATTAGTATAGTTAATTAGCATATTAAATTATATTATATTATATTATATTGTATTGTATATTGTATTAGTTATATTTAGAATAGGAAAAGATCTTATTAGGTAAAAAAAATATAGCATGGTGGTGCTGCAGTTAAGTAAAATAATATGCAGCACAAGTGCCTCTAAGTGCGTCTATACAAAGTGCCTCTGAGTGCTTTTAAGTGCCTCTACACAAAGTGCCTCTGAGTGTCTCTACACAAAGTGTCTTCGAGTATTTCTGCACAAAGTGCCTCCAAGTGCCTCTATACAAAGTGCCTCCAAGTGCCTCTGCACAAAGTGCCTCTGAGTGCCTCTGCACAAAGTGCCTCCAAGTGCCTCTGCATAGAGTGCCTCTGAGTACCTCTGCATAAGTATCATTAAGTACCTCTATATGATATAGCAATTTTATTATTACACTTCTATCTGTAGAAAAGCTATAAAAAGAGAGCCTTTTGCCTCTTCTGCCAAGTTAGAGTTTTTTACCCTCTCTTAGAATCTAGTCATACCTCTTTACCCCTCTCTATTTGTAAAGTGTGATATTCCTCTTCTAGGGTAATTTCTACAAGCAAGGTCATTACTGTGAATTTGTTATTAATAAATATTATTATCTATACACTTTTATTATCTCGAACTGTTTGCCTTCTGCTATGAAGTTAAAGTATACACTTCATGTTCACCCTGTATATATTTATAAAGTATATCACTGCATCAGATAATCTTGTTACTCTGCTATAATTATACTAAGAAGGCTATAGCATTGTAATACTATAATTATAGAAATTTATATTTCATTTTATTTATATTTATTTTTTAATTCACCAACTAATTAACATAAATAAATATAAATTAATAGTTTTATTAGTTTGTTTAGATACTTAAATTAATAAATATTCATTATATTTACAGATTATATTGTATAAATAAAATGAATTAGATCGTAATTTTTATTAAATTAATAAATGAATTATTTTAAATACTTAATAATTGTTCTTTATATTCATAATCTAAAATAAAATTATAAATAATAATTATTCATGATATTGAGTAGCAGTATAAATTGAAAAAAATTAACCAATTATATGAACTAAAATTTATTTAAAATATAAATAATGGGTACTTATGAGTATGTGAGCCAGGTAGTAGTACTATCCAAGCCCACCTATTTGTATTAGGGCTTAGTTTTTTAAGCCCTTACTCTTACTCTAGGGCTTGGGATTTGATACCCTAACCCAGCTCTTTTGGGCCTACCCGCAAGTACTCATAAGTAGCCCAGGCTCATGCAGAGGTCTAAATAGAGCTTCTACCACTAGTTTCTTATACTAATTGACTAGAGTTGGTATACTCTATAACACCTTACAGATTTCTAACTTTCTAAATTGGTAGCCAGGTTGGTAAATCCTCTTACTAAAGGATCTTGTTGTTACTCAGTTCTCTAATCTTGGTTCTAACTTCCAAATTTGAGTCTTTTCTATAATATCACTAAAGATTATAGCTACTCTTTACTCAGATCTTTCCAAATAGGTTTTGATTATTCTAGTTTCTTGGCCTTTTATGTATTGAAGCTTCTATGTAAACATAGCGTTACCAAGATTACAGATTCTAGAACCCAACTGATCAATGGATAATTGTTACTATAATGCAAGCTTATTTTTGTATAATAATTTTAATATAAAACTAATAAAACCTTAATTACATAGTATAGCAGATTTTTGTAAGTTTAATAGTTTTAATTGATTAAACTATTTAAAATAAGCAAGTTAAAAATATAATACTGAGAAAGCTTTTATATATTACAAGTATCTCTTTAAAAATTATATATTTGATTTCAAATATTTATATATTTAACTAGTTTAGTAATAATATTTTAAGAAAAATAAAAAAATTTCTTGAATATAAAATCTATATACTGCAAATATAATTTTTACAGAATGATAATACAATACAAATAGTTGAAGATTAGTTTGTATTAATATTTTATAATTTTTATAATAAGTTATAGTAAAATATTTTTTTATAAAAATTATTTGCTATTTTAGTAACTGCAATATATAGTTAAAATTGTATTAAAATTTTTATAATTTCTACTATAATATATAAAAAATCTTTTTACAAAACATACTTCTATTTTGTTAACTACAAGTAATTAAAGTTAATTTGTAATTAAATTATCTTGATATCTAAGTAGTTAAATTTAAATTGGTTTGTATTAGAGTTATTGTAATTTTTATTATAAGTTACTATAAAATTATTATTGATTTTTTTGGTAATTTTCTTTTTTTTTATAAACATGTAACTATTAGAAAAATTGAGTACAAATTTACTCTGGAATAGCAAAAGGTTAAGGTGATAATTAATATAGAACTAAAGTAATATAATAATTTATTATATTTTTATATTTTAAATATACCAAGATTAAAAACTTATTAAATTTAGTTGTTCTAGAATTTTTAATAATTATAATAATAGCTATGTTATAGCTTTTAATTTACAATTTTCTTTCTATTTTCAAACACAATACCACTCTCAATTTCTCTAGAATAAGGTCTAATATAGTTTCTTTTAGGTTTAATCACCTCAGCTTCAGTTTTAATATTATATTTTAACATGATTTATGTAAAAATATTTTAATTACAGCAATAGCTAAAAATCTTCCTGGATATGCAGTTTTTCTACTTCCAAATACTACAAAATTACATTCAACTTTTGTTGCTAAAGTATTATGTTCAAGATAGTAGTATGTATAGAATTCTTTAGAATTTTGACCTTGAAGTTCTTCATCATTATTTATATCAATAATGTTTAAGTAGACTATGCAATCTATGTTTTTAAATAATTAAAAAGTTATAAAAATTATTATAGATAAAAACTTAAAAAAAATTAACAATCAAAAATTACTATTTGGAACTTGATATTTATTTTTAAATATAAAGTAAGGCTTAGAAAAGCATTTATGCTCAATACTAATTACTGCAGTACCAAATGTTCATAAAGTTTCTTTAATTAAACTATCCAACTTTACCATTTCATTCAAATCTTCAAATTTAAAATCATTTTCATTATAATTTTTATTAATTTTCTTTAATAGCTCCAAACATATCATCATTATTACAACTTTCCTGATTTTTTTTTTTAAGTAAATGAAGTTAAATAGAGAAAAATAAACAAAATACACACATCATCAACAAACATGTTAGCTATTGGAACAACAATAATATCCAATACAGTTTTATATGTGTCACGAATAACCCTTGGTTCTAATGATAAATAAAAAATTTAAAAAACTTAGGGGCTGGTATTTGTACCCACATTTGTGTTCATACCTGCAGTAAAAATAAAGTTTTTTAAAAAAATTTTAGCAAAGTTATCTCGACAATAATCTTACCAAAATTGATGAAACCTTCTTTATTTGAATTCTATGAATCACAGGATTCAAATAAAAAAAAATTTGTCGAATTTGATCAGTTGGATGTCGAGATATCTTTGCTCAAAGTTTAAAAATATTTGGAGCAGTATTTATTTTAATTTTCCTTTAATTTTGAGCGAGGATATCTCGATAACAATCAGATAAATTCGATAAAATTTTTTATATGAATTTTAAGTATCCATAGAATTCAAATAAAAAACGTTTTATTAAATTTGATCATGTGGTTGTCGAGATATCTTCGCTCAAGTAAAAAAATTAGGCGCAGATTTTATTTAAATAGGCATTTTGATTTTTCTCTAACTTTAAACAAAGATATCTCAATGACCACCTGACTAAATTCGAATGTTTCATCGAATTTGGTCAAGTGATTGTCGACTCAAATTTAAAGAAAAATCAAAACGCCTATCAAAATAAAAGCTGCGCCTACTTTTTTTTAAACCTTTGAGCGATGATATCTCGATGCCCACCTGATCAAATTTAATAAAACGTTTTTATTGAATTCCATGGGTTCATATAATTCATATAAAAAAAAAAAAATTTCACCAAATTTGACCAGGTAGTTATCGAGATATTTTCGCTCAAAGTTAAATGAAAATTAAAACACCTATTAAAAAAACGGTTCATTAAACTTGATAAGGTTATTGTCGGGATGTCTTCATTATAATTTTTTTAAAAAAATATTTTTACTTGGGGTATGAATAACAGCTCCTAAAACTTATTTAAGGTCAAAAAACTTACCATCACATTCATTAATATGAAGATCTATAGCCTTTTTTGTAATCGATTTTCATGCTTTAATCTTTTTATAAAAATATCCTTTATTATTATCAAAATCTTGACCCTTAAATATGTAGTCTAGATGTCGAAGCTGTTTAAAATTGAAAGAATGATTTAGATTAGATGATAATATAAAATTCAAAAAGGATTATTATATTAATTAAAATGTTTCATTTACTTCAAACATGGCTTTTAGAAAATTAAAATCTTTATGACTTGTAAGTACTTCTTGAGATGTATCCTTTCCGACTACGGTTATTACTCGCCCAAATACATATAATGAAAATGTCTTTCCATACTATTATTATAAAGAGATTGAGATGAAATACTTATTTTATTTCATTTATTTTTTTTTTAAAAAAAAATTAGCAACGAAACCTTTTCTCGAGATTCTATAATTAAATTTTTGCAATCCGTATAAAACCTCCAAGTATGTCCGAGAATTGGAATTCGATAGTAAGCAAGAGGTGGTTCATTCTAAGGAAGTTAACCTTTACATTAATAAAATAATTATGAATAAACTAATCCGTGAATAAAACTTACTAGTTTATCCTGCTTTAATAGTTTGGAATAAATTACTGCAAAAATTAATCCTATAATTAATGATTGAATATAGATATTTTCTAATAAGAAGTTAATCATTTTTTAGATTTGTTTTTTTTCTTGATTGAAATATTATTGTATATTGACTTGATTTTAATGTTAATAAAGGTTTTTATGATTACTTCGGGCAGTGATGTAATCATTACGGCGCATTTGCGAAATTAAGCAGACAATTTGTCACCAAATCCAAGCATTTGGTTCCCATAGGAAGACATTCATTTTTATTG